TACATAAGAGAATAGTTGAATTGAGTATGGTGTATCCACAAAATGGAGTATTATAATACTTGAAACATTTAGAACTTTAAAGAAAGAAAGAACATGTCTTGAAACTGACATGGAATGATTTCCAGGAAACATTGTTAAGTGAAAAAAAGCAAAGTGCAATAAAATACATACAATATGTAATTTTTGTGTAAGAAATATGAAGATAAACAAGAAAATATACATCTATTAAACTATTTGTGTGTGTAGGGGGGGTGGAATGAAGGGTAAACCACAAACCAATCCAACTGATCACCCCACAAAGGAAGATTGGGACAAAGGTGGAAAGGATAGGAGGATGGGATAGAAGGGATGGATTCTGAGCTCTTACATGATAGATTTTTCTTGTTATCTTTTCTTGAAATAGATTTACATAATCATACAATGAGTACTCTTTTCTGTATGGCTTATTTAGTTCAATTATACGCCTGTAAGTTTCACCCACGTTACGGAGAGTAACAATACCTTGTTCTTCATCATTGCTGCGTGGGAATGTCACAAGCATTTATCCATTCTACAGATGTTGATGGACATTTAGCTTGTTTCCAGTCTGGAGCTACTGTGAATAGAACTAGTGTGGATGTCCATAGATATTTATTTTGGTAGGCATATGACCTCTTTGCTGTTGGCCACATTCCCAGGAGCAGAATTGCTGTGTCATAGAATATATGTATGTTCAGCTTCAATAGACATGACCAAACAGTTTTCTAAAGTGCCATACTAAATCAGATTCTCTATGATAATATTCAAAAGTTCCTGTTCCTCTACATTCCTACCTAAGCTAACAAAATATCGTAAGTACTTCCAATTTTTGCCTTTCTGGTGTGGGTGTAGTACTGCCTCTCACTCCGGTTTTAATGTACATTCCTCTGATGACGAACGGTGTTGAACACCTATAGCTGCTAATCAGGTATTTGAATATCTTTTGTGAAATAACTGAGCTTTTTGCAAATTTTTAAAATTGGTTTCAGATTTTTTCTTATTGCATTTATAGAATATCTATATAGATAATGTGTGCCAGTGCCACATAAATGTATGTCAAACATCTTTTCCCAGTCTGTGACAGGCCTTTTCAATTTTTTTATGGTGTCTTGTAGTAAACAGTTTAGAAGTTCTTAATATTTTTCTTTCTCAAGATTGTCGTGGTGGGGCTGGTCCGGTGGTGTAGTGGTTGGTTTCCCACGCTCCGCTTCTGCAGTCTGGGGTTTGCAGATTCGGATCCCGGGCGCGGACCGGTGCACTACTTGTCAAGCCATGCTGTGGCAGCGTCCCATATAAAGCAGAGGAAGATGGGCACGCATGTTAGCCCAGGGCCAGTCTTCCTCAGCAAAAAGAGGAGGATTGGCAACGATGTTAGCTCAGGGCTAATATTCCTCACAAAGAAAAACAAAAACAAAACAAAACATTAAATACATAGTGTGAAGGAAAGAACTAATGGCGAATCTCTAACCTCGTCCCCTCTTCTAAGAGGTATGGGAGACAAATTTGCCCTTCAGTGACTGATGGAGTTTACTGGCTGAAAATGAAAATGAATGATGAGGATCTTGAATGGGTTATTGCTTCCAACAGTTGACTGTTCTAGGACTGCTTTTAGCAGTGTGTAGCTGGTTTATCTAGATTGTTCATTGTAAGTAAATCTTAAATTTATAAACTACAGTTCTGTTGAAGATTGGAAGTTAGTGATGTAGCCAGATGAAGGCTAGGTGAGTAGCAAGTTGGATGCTGACATACCCTAATTCTCGTCTTGCCTGAGTTAACTGAAACTTCACTCCATTAGCTTTCCTCACTTGGAAAGAAAAGTGGGTCTGTTGTGGAAAAGAGGATTCTGAAAACTATATCTGACAGTTTGGTGTCTCTGAGATATTGATGCAGAGAGTACTATTGCTCTCATATTTTTGTCCTTGCCTCTTCCTTAGTAATGCTGTTGCTAAGTCAGACTTGTGTATCAAGAAAATCTGACAATTCAGACCTTTGTGATTGCACACCTATTAATAACTCTAAGAAAATTGTGCAATTCCTCTGAATGGTAAGCTTTAAAACATTACTTACAGAGACTAAAGAAGGTCCAAGTATAGGGAAAGATGTATCATGATTGTGGATTGGAAGAATCATTATTATTGACAGTTCTGGCCAATTTGATTTATAGATTCAGTGCAATTATAATAAAAATATCTGAGAAGAAATTTTTGTAGACATTAAAAGGTGGTTCTAAAATTTATATAGAAATGCAAAAAACCTGGAATAACCAACGATGTGTCAGTCCATGCCCGAGATCCGAACCTGCAAACCCGGGCCGCCAAAACGGAACATGGGAACTTAACTGCTACGCCACTGGGCCAGCCCCTGTATTTAATGTGTTGATGCTATTGTAAACTATACTGACTTTTTAACTTTTTTTCTAATTCTTTATGAATAGAAATGTAACATATTTTTGTAAATTAAATGTATACTGAGGAAACTTGATACATTTATTATTAATTATAATAGATTCCTTTCCAATTATTTATTATTATTATTATTACTACTACTATCACTATTATTTTAGCCTACTTGTAGTTATTAGGAACTCCAGGACAATGATGAATAAAAGCAGTAGAAGAAGAAATCTATGTCTTCTTCCCAAGCTCAGGAAGAAAGCATTTAGTATTTTACCATCAAGTAGTATGTTTGTTGTAGGTTTTTTCTTTGTTTTTGTTTTTCAGATGCCCTTTATCAATTTCTGCTTTCTGCTCCAACATGTAAAGCACTTGGAAGTCATCACTCCCATCCTGGCAACAAAAAAAATGCAAGGGGGAAAAAAATTGAATATTAATGATTTTCATTGGACCCACCAGGACTCTGAGGTTCAGAGCAAATCACCACCCTACGTCTGCAGAGACAGCACATCTGAACTTGCAACCTAGATCTGCTTACCTGGAACAGAAGCCACTAATGCTGACCCCCGGATGGAACACTTAAATGGTAATTTTGCTAGATTGCTGGAAATTGAGTATGCACTAGTGTAAGAATGAGAAACTCCTGGGGGTCAAGCTTTTAAGGGAATCTCTACACTTTACTGGGCTTTACCTCCAATAATTTCATTAGGTTCTCATGGTAGAGATCCAAGAAAGATCCCCTCATGGCTCTGGTAGGGGAAGGGAAGAGTAATCTACATAAAATACGCCCCGAGCCTTCTCCATAACAAGGGCTTACTCACCAGGGAAAAAGATCTAACCTGAGCTTTATCCTACCTGGAGCAAGGGAATTACTCCCACTAGAGTAAGTTTCAGCCTCCCTGTCTCACCTGAGAGAGAGAAAAAAACAGTGTCTACAGGAGTCAAGACGTCAATTAAAGGTATAGGGAACTCTACATCCAGAGAAGACAGTAAGAACTATACTGAAGAAACAGTTGTGAATGTCAGCCTTGAGACGCAAGCCCACTAACAGACTGAGATTTAATTGTAAAATTATAGAATGATTCTTTTCCCCTAAACCTTATCACCACACCAAAGAAATTCCAGTATAATAGTGGATTACTGCAGAAAGATCTGCAAAACACAGATTCTCTCTGACGAAGTGTACTTAGAAAAATCCAGTCGAGAGGAATCAAGCCTCTAGCCCCTAGAACTACAATATTTAAACACAGCCTGACTCCTAACCAGATTAACATAAATTCTTACACTAAAGGCCTCTTTGCCTCAGATCCAAGTACCCAATAAAACATATCTGATTTTCAACAATAACAAAAAAAATGCTACGCATGCCAAAGGCAAGAGAAAACACACTCAAGAGAAAATCAATCATTAGAACTAGAAATAGACATAATAAGAATGCTGGAATTAACAGGCTGAGGATTTAAAATAATCTATGGATATGATGTTACATTTTTTCCTACTTACTCTGATAACATTTGGACTTATGTTTATGATTTTCCAACTGGTAAGGTTTTTTGCATTCTTTAAATAAAACTCACTTGGTCATGATGTATTATCTATTTAATATATTGCTAATTGAACTTATTTATATATTCTTAGGAATTTTGCATTTTTTATCTTATGAAATTTTTATTTTAAGACATATTTTAAGCATACCAAAAGAAGGAAGAATAAAGACTACAACAAACATCGTACACCCATTTCCTGGATTTAACAATTGTTAATAGTTTGGTATAATTCTTTCATGTTTATTTTCTCAAGTGTTCTAAAATAATTTACATGCAAACTCAAGTTTTTCCTTATTATTCTGCTTTGAGATTAACAAGATAATTTCCAAGGAATAATGAATTTAAAAAATTAAACTGAAATTTTGTTATCATCACAGAGGCTCTTTAAGCTTTAGACATAGAATCCCTATGCTTGGGTGGGAAAGAAAAGATAGATATTGACAGTGATGATGAGAAGGAGGAGGACAAGAGGAAGGAGAAGGAGGAAGAGGAAAGGGTAAGGGAAAGAAGAAGAAGAGATAATCATGAAATAAGATATATTGGTAAATTTCTTAGATATAAGAAGAAAATGTTGCCATGGCTGATGATTTATTACTGCATCATAGCAAATTTATTGTGATAAAAGAATTGAAGCTCCAAATATATTTATTACATCAGAAAAAGTTTATTATTAGATGTCAGCTATTGAAAGATAAAGCCTTGCTAGAGTACAATAGCTCTCCATCCCATATAGAAGGGGATCTCTGAAGAAAATCACTAATCAAACACCAGCATCCAGGTCATCAAGCTTTCTTCACATTATTGTCAGAAACCAGGTGGTCCAAATAACAGTTTAATTATCAAGACAGGATAAATAAAGCATGCAGGTTATGGAATAAAGTTTTCTAGATGAATCAGAGTCTCACAGAAGACTAAGTCCACGAGTTGCAAATTTTAAAATATTTGTTCAGTAGAAGCCAGAAGACCAGTATCTTCCATAGTAACATGGACAATAGCAGCCATATCCGTAGCCCCCACAGCCAGAACCATATCTGTAGCCTCCATAGCCACAGCCATAGCCCAGTCTTCGGAAGCTGCCATATCCACAGCCGTAGCCGTAGCCCAGGCCACCGAAACCTCCGTAGCCATAGCCTAGGCCTCCGTAGTAGCTGCCGCAGTAGCTCATGGTGTCAGAAGTGGTGAGTTTGGCTTGGTGTTGCAGGTAGTTCTGTGATGTGACTGCACAGGGACGTTTATATACACTGATGAGTGTGGAAAGCCAAATCTCTAAATGTCATCCAGTAGAACACATCACTGAAAACTATGTCAACTATCTTGTTTCCTAACACCAAACCATGTCTTTCCTTGTTTAAGTAACTAGTCATTTCAAAGTTATGCGGCACGTTTGAGTTTTTGCTTCATTCGAATTCCTAGAAAAGTATTTTACTGCTAATAAGATGCTATTGTGTTTATGATCCCCATACTTGATTAGGTTTCTGAGTTTCAAACCCCATAAACACATCTCTAAAGCTTCAGGTATTCTTCGAATTGCATCACACGAGATTGCATTTACCTCTAATTGCACCCTTTCCTTTGACATTCGGCTGTTGACTCTTTCCTAAGCCAAGTGTGTTCTTTCCTCTCCCAAGAATTCACATAAATTGAACCATAACTCTTCCCTGAAATACTAGTCTTATGAAAAATGGCAGTCAACAATGATGTACGTCTTAATACAATGTGCTTTCAATGTCAGCTGAGAATGACATTTGCTTGTGCAATGATGATATTTAATTTTTAACAGAGCCACCAACTGAAGTCAGAGGAATTTCTCAAGCATCCTGTCTCATGTAGAGCAAGCCTGCTTGGTAGATACCATTGAAGATTGTGTAGAAGGAGTTTCTGCTAATCACTATAAATAGCTCCCTGCCCACAAATATATTCTTATTCCAGACTCTAACTTCCATATTATCATAGGACCATAGACTTTCAGAATTCAAAGAGACTTGAGGCATCATTTATTTCATTGTCCTTTATTTTTTTTAACCAGTGAGAGAACTACAACTCAGACAGACAGAATTATGCAACAATAATCTTAAGTGCTCCAATTCAGCCTGGTTTCAGCAGGTAAACTTGAAATTGAGGCTATGCTTGCAGGTGAGGGATTTTATTCTGCCATATTGTGCAGCTGCCTTATATTTTTGTTTATTCTGTCATTTATTCTCATTATCACTAGAAATAAGTGCAAGAGACATGAATGCAGTTAGCATGTATATTCAGCCAGTTACGCTTTAAAAAAAACCTCAAAATAATTGAATATCAGAAAAAGTATAGATGATTTTTGAATTTCATATACCCTTATTACACTTGCTTTTTTTTTTTAACCAGTTTATTAAGAGTACAATGTGATTAGATTCTTATGTATTTCCATATGGATGAAGCTTTGCAATCTACAAATTGCAGGGAATTATTGATGGTAAAGAATTGCTCTATTTAAATCTGCTTCAGTTAGAAGAATCTAGTTTCAATGAAATTTAAGGTAAATTAAAAAAAAAACTATTATCTTTAGTCTTTGTCATAACCCAGAAAAAGCCAGATATTTTGCCTTATAGAGGACATCGATAATAGAGGATCTCCTAAGATCCAATCTAGGGATTACCTCCTATGTTCTTCTGCTTTATCTGACTCCTAAAAGAGAAGCCAACCTCTAGCCCTAAGCTTTGCCTGTACAGTAGTCCCCTCTTAGCTGCAGTTTAACTTTCCGAAGTTTCAGTTACCCATGGTCAATTGCAGTCTGAAAATATTAAATGGAAAATTCCAGAAATAAACACGTCATAAATCTTAAACTGCACACTGTTTTGAGTAGCATGATGAAATCTTCCACCATCCCACTCGATCCTTCTTGGAATGTGAATCATCCCTTTGTCCAGCCTATACACTCTGTATCCGCTACCTGCCCCTTCATCACTTGCTAGCTATCTCAGTCATCAGATCGACTGTTGCGCTATTGCAAGAGCTTGTGTTCAAGTCACCCCGATTTTATTCAATAATGGCCCCAAAGAGCAAGAGTAGTGATGCTGGCAATTCGGAGATGCCAAAGAGAAGCCATAAAGTGCTTCCTTTAATTGAAAGGGTGAAAGTTCCTGACTTAATAAGGAAAGAAAAAAAATTATATACTGAGGTTCCTAAGACCTACGGTAAGAATGAATCTTCTACCCGTGAACAGTGAAGAATGAAAATGAAATTCATGCTAGCTTTGCTGTCGCTCCTCAAACAGATGTGTATAGGAAAAAACATAGGATATATGGGGTTCAGTGGGATCCGCAGATTCAAGCATCCACTGGTGGTCTTGGAATGTATCCCCTGCAGGTAAGCGGGGACGACCGTACATGCAACATCAAGTGATCTGCCCTCTCTTCTCATCATCAGCCAGCACTGCCTCCCACCCAGCAGACAAAAGACCAGACTCTCCCCCAATCACCTTAAGACTCATGTTGTTGCTGGAGAAAAGGCACTCTTTCCAGCCTTTCATCTTTCTGAGATACCACTGCATTCACATCTCAAGATTTCGCCAAATATCAATATTAGGACTCCTTTTATTTCTTCTAACAATTCATTATTTTCTCTTTAAACCTTGTATATTTTTAAAATATATTCACTTAAAAGTCAACCTAATTCTGTGGTTTTGAGACAGCTGTTGAAAAATCAAGCAATCATACAAAAACTGCAAAAGGTAAAGGGAAATTTCCTCAAAATGTCTTTCAACTCAAGAGACTTTGGACATAAGCCAATTTGGTAAGGTAATAGTATATGAGCTTAACTTTCCTCATTATTGTATCTCTAATAGCTGCAAAAGGAGTGCAGGAACTTTAATTTAAAAATTACCACAGGGCATTTTCATTGGCAATCCAGGAAAAGGAATTTTTTGATGATTTTCTATGGACAGCACACATGTAAATGACATATTGATTAAAAAAAGAACTAGACAGGATATGTCAGACCTCTTCTATGTGATTTATATATTATTTTTAAAGTAAACAATGATAATAAATAATATTTACCAAGTGATTAATATGGTCCAGGCACTATCTGAAGTCGATTATATGTATTAAACTCAAACTCATAACAATTCTTTGTAGTACTATTATATAGTAGTACTATCTGTCTCCTCAGACAAGAGCAACAAAAGCAAACATAAACAAATGGGACAAACATTATGATCTGAAAGGACATTTTGCAAAGAGAAGTATTTAACCTTCAAAAAAGAAATATTTAAACTATTTAAGAAAAAAAAGCAATTACTTTTAAAAAGAAATTAAAAATAAGTATTTTAAATATTTCTTTTTAAATCCACTTTAAAATACAAAGCATATAATAAAATACAAAGCATGTAAAAAACAAAGCATGCTACTCATAAATTAACCTTTCTTAGTCGTTTAGCAACCCCATCATGCATATTTATTAACATAATACTATCATTAGAAATATCTAGGGGAGTTATTAGCCTGCTGAAGGCAGCCTGCACAACTTTTTAGTGGTTAATCCATTAGACACATATTCACCTAATGATTGCTATATTTCAGGCACTAATATAGTCAGTGTAAAAAAGGAAAGCTAGCCATGAACTTCAGAGAGGCTGCATTCTAGTGCAGGATAAGATATTAAAGCAGTAATATGTGAGCAATATATAACTAATGACTTAATTGAAAATAAAATGGACAAGGAGCTCTGTTTGGAGGTCTGGGCAGTTGCCTTACCTGTGGTACAGTCTGTAACATAATTGTGGGATATCGACTTATTGGGGACTGGGTCATTGTCCTTTAGCTAAATATCTACACAACACCGTATGATTCAGGATTTGTGTTTTTACCTCTCCCTTTCCTCAAGACTATATTGCTTTTCCATTATCATTTCTTGATACTTTCAAATGATTTGACATAAAAAAAGATTTGTTTTTTTAATCAGAAACTTTTTTTGCTGCTTCATCCTTTTGCTCTTGAAAACTGTATCTTTTCTTTTCTATATTTTCTGATTTACTATGGATAATTTTAATCATTTTCATTTATTTTCCTTCTTTTTTGATCTTTCTCTTCAAAATGTCGATGGGGCTTAGATTTGCCAGAGAAGTAACATACTTCTCTCCTGGGGTTTGTGTTGTATCTAGAGAAACTGTAAATTGCTCCTCTAGAAGCAGTTACTGAGTGGTTAACATAGTCAGACACTGGGCTATACATACCTTGAGCATACACTAGTGAGCAAAACACCCTCTTGCTCTCTGCTTGAAGGATACCAAGCAGATACCAAGATCTCTTTGGTTATTCTTTTTCCGTGCATATAATCCACAATATTTTTAGGAACTTCTATATCAATGACTAGGTTTAATATTAAATAGAGATGTATGTCTTAGCATTGGCTGAAAAACATTTCACACACACACCTTACATTTAAAGAAAAAAATCATATTAATAAACACGAGTAATGAAATATATTAGCAAATTAATTATACTGGATCTACTCTACATAGCTGGAAAAAACAAAAAACCTCATAAAACTCTGAGGATTGAACACAACACAAATGAGTTGCCTCTAATCCCCACTGAACCCTCAACACTGCCCGTAAACCTACCTTTCCACTCCAGTTGGTTCCTTCCCCCATAGCCACAATCATGCCAAACATCTGTCTTTCTTTTAAAACACCGTCTCACTCTCCCGTTCTCTCACTCAAGCCTAGCTCCACTTCATTTCACAGATCAAACAGTCACCATCAGGCAGTAACCCTGGCAACTCTCCACCGTCTCTCTCTCATCTGCACATTATTCGCTTTGAAATTTATTTCAAATTCAATATGTGAAAAATGTTAACAACAACAAAAAAAGACGAAAAACACTGATCATCTTACCTTTCACCCATCACACACTCAACGTTTTTTCTCTTCCCCATGGTTCCTATCTTGGCAAAGAGCTTCAAAAATCACCAGCTATCCAAGCCAGAAACCTGGATTCATACCTGAGTCAAGCTTCTTTTTTCGCATCCCACGAATTCAAATTAATTCTCATTCATTCCTTCAACAAATAATAGAGAACATTTACCTACTTGTTTTGGAGGTAAAGCAGT